CAGAGGTCTCCTCCTCCTCCTCGGGTCTGCACACAACAGTGGCTCAATGTCGTACAATATTTACTTAAGCGTTAACAGTGGATTTTGACTTCATTAAACCGGACACCTGGTGCTGGTGTCAGAAATAATAATAATTCATTGTCGGGGGACAAGAAGCCAGGTTATACATTCGGTACATGTTAGGCTTATACCCCGTCCCCCTCCCCCCCCCACCCACCCCCACCCCAAGGGTCATTACTAACCCCGCCCAGGATGCAACCCCACAATAAGCTGATTAACTCCTGGGTACCTATTTACTGCTAGGTGGACAGGGCATGAGGTGAAAGGAATTGCGAGCAAACCATTTGTGTGCAGCCCCGGGATTCGAATCCCGAATTCTCGATTGAGAGTCGAGAACGAACCTGATTGCATTGTCGGGACCCTGAACTGTGGGGGACGTTGACATCCGCCGGCTTCTTGTCCCCATGGAGGCCACTAGAGATGATTAGCCGCAGGTGAAGAGCGCGAGCGCGCCCCGAGCAACTCTGCCATCCCCGGCAGGAGAGACCGGCCAAGTATGCGATATATAACCAAGCATGCGGAGATGAACACTGGACCATATAACATATACCAATGGAACAATAACTGTAAAGTCTCTGTGTGTGGCTTTTGCTTTAATGAAATAGCTGAGATGAAGCAGGTTAACGAGTGCCTGTATACCCGTCTCCCCCCCCCTCCCCCCCGCGCCCTCTTACACTCACAAAATCTCTTGCAAAGGGTAGAAATAGCCTAAGCTACTCTACCCCTTTGAGATGTATTTTTTTCTTGTCTCAATAAACATACTTGAACGTGAATCTCTTGCAGATAAACGTTTTTTGCAATTCGGATATTAAATATGTAATTCAAATCAAAATGTATCACTGTTCATCAAAGCTGCTGGTATCGGTCACATATAGTCGATGGGTAAGTAATTATCAAAAGAAGGCGCCAAGGCGAGGTAATGGGGTTATATTAAACAAACTGCACTAACCTATTTTGTAAACCTTGCCCTAGGCTTAACCTCCCCCATTTAATGTAAATAAAGACAGTTAAATTGGCCAGCTACTTAGCTTAGTATTTGTGAAGAGTTGAACAAAAGTTCGAAGTCTTCTTGGTCTTCGAATATGTCTCTGGTGAGGAGTGAGCTTCCTCATTACTTCACTGGCGTTGTCTGGGTGTGAAAGGGAAATAATTGGCATAGGTAATTTAGCTTTATTTTACTTTATTTATATGTACGAGAGTTCTTACAGTCTTGTAAAGTCACTAACTAGCACGCATAGCGTTTCGGGCAGGTCCTTGATCCTATTTATTTCCCCCGGACTACGACTCGCCAAATAGTTTAACAAGCAGGTACCCATTCACTGTCGGATGAACAGAGGCTACAGTTAAGGATTGACGCCTAGTCAATCCTTCCCGGGCCAGCCAGATTCACGAAAACACTTACGCAAGCACTTACGAACGTGTACATCTTTCCTCAATCTTTGACGGCTTTGGTTACATTTATTAAACAGTTTACAAGCATGAAAACTTGCCAATCAACTGTTGTTATTGTTATAAACAGCCTCCTGGTGCTTCGGAGCTCATTAACTGTTTAATAATTGGAAACAAAGCCGCCAAAGATTGAGAAAAGATGTACAGGTTCTTAAGTGTTTGCGTAAGTGCTTTCGATACAAAAGTGCTTTCGATTTGGCCTGGGATACAAACCCAGGCCAAAGCGCCGAGCGAATGTTTGACCACTGGGCCGCCACGGGGACTGCAACTGGCTGGCGTGGCTACAGTATTACCAAGATCATGAATTTACATGAATTTACCTGAAATTACCTGATGGTCACTGTCTCTAGTGGTCTCGAAGAAGACAGAAAGCCGTCGGCTTGTCAAAGGTCCTCCCAGTTGTCCTGATGGTCTTATCGAGGCTCCAGGAGCCGCTGAAGTGTTTACATTGGTGCCGCATCTGTTTTCTCAAGGGGATACTAGGAATTAATTTTTCAAGCTTAATTATAGGATTTATTGCTAATAGCCATCCACTTTTACTAATAGCTGTTTATTTAATTAACTTAACATTATCAAGTCAGAGGTTATAATAGCTGTCAGTCAACTATTTAAATTGATACGACTGACAATTGCTAAAACTCTGTGTTTAACTATACTTCGTGAACTATTATTAAGATCCACATGCATTATGTGGATTCAGCAAAAATTTACTTATGAATTTAAATTCAGTATTAATTTACCTATTGAAATAGTATATATCTGAGTGAATCATAGTTATCTTTATCCGGGTAGATTCGACGAACCTAATACCTTTGTATCCAAGAACAGTCTTTTAAACGATTTAGTGGGTCGTATTCCGGTGAATATTAGAACTAAGGACCTGCCCGAAACGCTATTGCGTTAGTGGCTTTACAATCATGTAAGAACTCTTGTATATATATATATAATAATACAAACATACACGTTTGCCTTTTATTCATTCTTCTTTTGGCATGATTCCTCAAGTACAGTTTAAAGTAGATATGTTGGATTAGCATTTTATGCTAATGCTTTACCCATATAATTTTAGCTATTCGTGGGAATTTCTCAATCTCACAAGCTTGTCCTCAGTTCCAACACAGAAACATTATCCATACTTGTTCCTCCACCATTCCAGCGTAGTTGGTCCCGCACCTGCAGTTATTTCTCATTTTCTATCATCGTAAAAGCACGCGGAGAAAACTGTTTTAAGAGAGACTATATAAAAAAGCTACCCTGACATTTAACCTTTTTTTTTTTCTTAATATTTCGTCAGGCGGCTCCAAGTCGCCAGTATACAAATCTATCAATTAAGGTTAAACCATGATGATCATGTATATATTCTTAAAGACCTTGGAAGGAAGAAAATAATTACCAGAGGCCATCAAGGAAAATGCTGACAGATATTTTACACGTCATGTAAAAAATAATGAATAATATCAGCATCTTCAAATACCATTGTGTGGAAATTTCCGACATTTTCCGACACTCCTCAAGGTGTCAAAGGGAAACTGTCTGGTGATTTTCTTCATCCGTGTACCTGAAAGATTTACTCGACTAAATTCCTGCAAATGCAGAATGAATTCAGTACCAAAATCGAAATTTTGTGGTCGTGAAAATTCAACAAAGTGGCAAAAATGAAATCCTCAACGTTAGGCGAGATAGGTCAAATAACACGTCTTAATTCAGGGTAATATTTCAATTTTATTCAATAATGTATATAGAAATGGAGAGAGAGAGAGAGAGTGCAATAGAAAATATGTTATCTTCCCAAGAAGAGGCAGCTGAAACACAAAGCCAACACCACTCTTCTAACTATGCCCGTCGTCCTCACCTTCTTCGGTTCCCAGAGAAAAGTGGCCTTCAGGTTCAAACTAACACCCTCTAGCCAAGAGAGAAGCTCCACCTTCAGCAACGTAATGTCTCTTATCACTATCACATCACTGTATACTTTCGAACTTGAGGCTAAAACACAAGTTCGCTGTTGCCCTTTCAGTAGCCTCATGCATAGATGCGACCCTCATCACGTCGTCACCACGACGTGTTGAGGGGCCACCACGGACCGAGACGTTGTCTCTTTCATTTCCTCTCATAAGTGTGGGATGGGTAACATTGGGACATGGTTGACGGCAGCAAACATTGGGACATGGAACAGTTAAGAAGTACAAAAGTTACTCTCGTGACTCGTAGTGAGACAAGAGATGTAAGTCAAGTCAACAATGGATGAATCTAATTAGCAAAGAGGTTGTAAACACTTTGAAAATATTAAACAAACACCAAAAGTAAATTAAAATTTATCAAATATAAAGTTAGAAATGATCTAGGATCAACCTAAAAGTATCGCTGTTTAATTACTGCGATTATTGAGATTGAGTATTGAGATTTATTGTTGATAGCGAGATGAAGCGTTCCTCTGTCTCTTCTATTGAAATTGTTGGTGACAGACACAAGGCAATTATCAGCAGAGTGTCGGAAAATCCGACACCATTTAATAATCATACAGATAATAACTGTATTACCAACAAGTTACCCATAGAAAACGTAACTTGTAGTGGAATTACCGTCTATAGAAAACGGGATATCATCACCACATACTATTATAATTCACCAGCTATTCTGCTGGGAATTGTTCTTAAATACATTAGTCTTTGGACTTTACCATCATAAAAACATCTTATATAAATTAACTTAATTATCAATATTAAAGTAGAGTAAATGTGACCCTTCTATCACTTTCTGAAATCTGGACAAAGTAGGCCAGGCGTCAGGGAGGAAGGGGGGAGCCATTGTTGTGTCACCTCCGAGACGTGTGGAGCAAATTTGGCTCCTATCATTCTGGACAATGTCGGCCAGTAACGTCAATAGTATGGAGTGTTAAACAGTCATTGTTTTATACTAGACCAGAGGCTCACACGGGAGCAAATTCGGCTCCTGTTAATTTACTTGGACGTAGTGTTATGGAAACCAAAGGTACCATCTCCAACACGATGTCTACAATTCAAGTTAAGTCTATCCGAAACCCGTTTATCATTCATTTATGGCCATTAATGTCAGGATATAGGGTGACCCGGTTAGATCACGTGGAAGCCTCAAACTAAAGGTAATTAAGCCAGGTCTTTAATGTTCCATGTACAGTTTCTCTGATATAGCTTGTCATATAGGTTTCTGGCTTCACAGTTAGCGCCCTTTTGACAGGTCAAGACGAGGAAGGAAGTTTTGTGCACCAGTTACTGGGTGATGGAAGCTGCCTCAAAGAGGATAATTTGGTGTCTACACCCTAGTTATACCTGGTGGACTAACCTGCTGTACTATAAGATAAGGAACCTCATCAATGTATGTAGCTATTACTGTAGTTTGATTGGCTGCATATATATTAATTTAATAACCCCCCCCTAATGTGTAGAGGATCGATTTGTGAGATTAAGAGATTATTGCAGAAATACAGTCCACTTATCATTATACAAATTGCTATCGAAGTATATAAATTAACGTAAATATAAATTCATATAAATTAAATAAATATAAATCTCACAGGTCGGTTCCCACACAGAGAGCGCTGGGTCAGTATGATAACAAATCACTTGGAAGGGACATGAGGGGTAACGAGATGGGACGGAATGAAGGAACGGAGCCTAACCACTTGGACCATCCAGGGATCGAACCCCAAAAAGCAAGGCCGTGGCTCTACCCCCCCAGGTCCAAGTGATAGGACTGGTTGTGGCAGAGGCTGCAGATCCTTACGGCCCAGTGGTCCCCTGGGCGTCCAGCGGGTCCTGCCTCCCAAAGATTAGGTGGTCTTGGAAGGGCTTGAGTAAGGTGAAGCCGTTCGCCTTCATCAGGTCCTTGAAGGCCTCCCAGCCCTCGGGAGCATGCTTCACCTTCACTATCACCACATGAATCTCCAACTTGTCAAATGGAAGAGTCTTCAACACCTGCAACAAATTGACTGTTGGGAATTTGATATGAGGATGTTATTACTGCAGTTTTATGGGAGAGGCTCTCTTGCTGTATACTAGAAATGTATCCTAAGACTGTATGTTAGACCTGCATACAAGGCCGGCCTGCTAGGCTTTTGTGATATACTCCTGTAAGCGCCCAATTTTAAATATATATATTGTAATTGTTATACAGTCACGCACACACCCTGGAGATCACTGTAGTCTACCTCAAGCTCCAGCTGCAGACAGGATCAAATACCTTATAATGTATTTATTAGTATGAATTAACAAACACTAAATGAGAGATACCTTACACTCTGTAGCAAATATCTAACAAGATACGCGTCACTATTTGGTAAAAATAGTACTAGCAAAAATATATTTAAAAATTTATTTCACCACCATTGTTTTCCACGGCCGGCTTTTTCCATGACTGGCACCACCATGGAGCCGGTCGGCCGAGCGGACAGCACGCTGGACTTGTGATCCTGTGATCCCGGGTTCGATCCCAGGCGCCGGCGAGAAACTATGAGCAGAGTTTCTTTCACCCTATGCCCCTGTTACCTAGCAGTAAAATAGGTACCTGGGTGTTAGTCAGCTGTCACGGACTGCTTCCTGGGGGTGGAGGCCTGGTCGAGAACCGGGCCGCGGGGACACTAAAAAGCCCCGAAATCATCTCAAGATAACCACAAACTTTCATGATATTGGTGTTGTCCAGAATTTGTGGTTTATGTTAAGGTTCAATTATGAGTTTAAACGTTACGTTGAGCGGATCAGAGAAAAACACGAGAGTAACGGGCTGAAAGCCGCTATTGCGGCAGTAGGTAAGGTAGGGTAGGGAGAGTAGAAGTAGGTTAGGCCGGAGGGAAGGAATGGTGCCTAACCACTTGCACCGTGGGGGATCGAATGAGGATTTGTAAAAAAGCGAGCCCGTCGCTGTATCAACAAGTCCAAGTAGTTGTATACATGTGCAGGCAGTTTATGTATACATGTATACATAAACACTGGGGTGTGTAGGAGACACCCATGTTAGAGGAGGCCGCCCGCAGGACTGCACAGTAAACACGGTATCAACAGAGGACATAAAAATCGTGGTTGTGGGCACGTGCAACCCTCCAGAAAAGCAGAAGACCCAGGGAAGAGTGTGAAAAAAAGACAAAAATGAACATCCTTAAGGTCAGAGAGAGGGCTATACCAGTGCCACGCGGAAGAACAGCAAATCTTCTAATGCATTTACCTCTCCCAAGCACTCATCCACACAAGGACACACACACACAGTCACACAAAACACATACACACCGTACCCACATTAACACGCCTCACACAAACACTAACCAACTTCCCACGCACAGAACAGGCATATGACCAACGATACCTAACATGGCTACAGATATAACGTAGAGTGTAAGACAAATATTCCCGAGTGAGGCAATACCCACCTGCAGCTCCTGGCCACCAATGTCGAGAGACAAGAGGTCGATAGTGTGGGTGGTGAGGGCGAGCATGATAGAGTAGAGGGGAAAGCACTGGAGGGTGTAGGAGCTTAGCTTTCCAGTGCTGCTGCCTGGCTGACGCCCCTGGTGGGTGGTCGGACCCATCACCTTAGTCTGGTTCATTATCTCGTTTCTGATCCTGCAACACCAGAGGAAAAGACATATATCAAGCAATGATATCGTCATATGAGTAGAAAGTGAATTTGTTGGTGCTTCCAGTGATTACTGCGACATGTAAGTGATGGTGGGGTGTCAGAGGCGTTCAGAGGTGGTGGGTGCGGGTAGTAGTAGGTGACAATAGTGGTGGATGAGTGAGAGTAGTTGTTGTGGGCACTGGAGAGAGTAGAGACACTATGCAGGCGATGAGACACAATAACGTGGCTAAATTATGTTGACCAGACCACACACTAGAAGGTGAAGGGACGACGACGTTTCGGTCCGTCCTGGACCATTCTCAAGTCGATCCATTCTCGAATCGACTTGAGAATGGTCCAGGACGGACCGAAACGTCGTCGTCCCTTCACCTTCTAGTGTGTGGTCTGGTCAACAGTAGAGACACTAACCTGACTGTACTAGTGGTGGTGAAATTGGTGGGTGAGAGGCAGGCATGCATGGTGTGGGTTTTCCTGCCCTTGGTGACCAGCTTCTGGTAGAGAACCGGGTCTGCCTCGATCAGCAGTCCCTTCCACTGGCGGCGCAGCTCCAAGTACAGTGTCTTGCTCCAGTGTTCACCGTCGTGAGCGCCCGCCTCCACAAAGAAACCCTTGGTCTGTCCATGGAGGGTACAGTCATGAGCGATACAGTTATAGGGATGCAGTAATGTAGTGATATATATATTTGAGGACAGTTATACGAGTACATTAGTGATATATGTGGGTACAGTTATATAGTGATACAGTCATGAAGGTACTGTCAGAGATACAGTAATGATAGTCATGGGAAATACACTGAAGATACAGTCAGGATCATATAATAATGGAGATGCTGTACCGTCATTGGGTGAAGCGTTCAGTTGAGTTGTTGTTTTAGATTCAGCTACTCGGAACAAAAATTCCAAGTAGCACGGGTTATGGTGAGCCCGTAGTTTCAGTTGAGAATTTCAATTTCCAAATACCAAAGTGTGGAGTGTCACTTCCTAACACCTCGAGACACACTTTCTAACAACTCCAGACACACTTACTAACAACTCCACACACACTTCCTAACACCTCGAGACACACTTTCTAACAACTCGAGACACACTAACACCTCGAGACACACTTACTAACAACTCGAGTCACATTTACTAACAACTCGAGACAAACTTACTAACAACTTCAGACACACTAACACCTCGAAACACACTAACAACTCGAGACACACTTAGTAACACCTCGAGACACACTTACTAACACCTCGAGACACACTTACTAACAACTCGAGACACACTAACACTTCGAGACACAATGTGTGGGAGAGGCTGGCTAACTGGAAGCGCTCAAGCCGTTGTCATGAGCGTCACCGCCTCAACCTGGCCTGGTGCGGCGGGAGGAGGGCCACACGCCTCAGCTCAGGGGCCTGTGCTTATACTTACATAAAACACATCGATGACGGCTTTAAGTTGCAAAATAAGAAAATATGCTGACTACACCAAACTAAGTAGACAAGTTACAATAAAACACAGTGTAAGCTGACCTAAACAGCCTAGTAAACTGATCTGACAGATTGCAGATAATGTTTAATGCTGACAAAAACTTTAAGAGAAACATTGGAAATGAAAATTAAAAAGCAAAGAACCAAGTAAGCCATAAAATACAAACAAAAGTCAACGGAGAGAGACCTGGGAGTGGTAGTGGCTGTTGACAGCAACATATAGATCAGCCTGATGGGGAAGGCAAGTAGAATTCTAACTTTTATTTGGCAAATCTTTCTGATTTCGACTGGAAAAGGCTGTGATAACTCTTTACAATTCATGGGTGCATCTTATTCTCGAGTGCTATACATAGTATTGGTCGCTGTATTCTAGAACAGGTATTGCCACAGTGGAAGGAGTTCAGCGCCAAAGAACATCATGCCAAAACTCGGAAATAAATCCCACAAAAACCCGCTTAAAGAACAAAATTTATTGTCTCAAAAGAACAATAATAGTACGTGATTTACTGTGTGTTTATAACCATTAAAGACAATGCTAATTCTGAAATATATTTGAATTACCTCACAAAGATAATTGTAAAAGCACCCACTGCAGTGCTTTTACAATTACCAAAAATATTTCACTTAATGAGGCTAAATATTTATTTTTTAATTGAGTAGCAAGACTTTGGAACAGCTAAACAGGAGATATCGTAGTGTGGTGCAATAAAATTATTTAAACTTGGATCAGACAACTTACGGGCCACCCTCTGCAATATGGTATCTTCAGGCCACCAAGCTAAAAAGGTTAAATATCCCAAAAGGAATCTACAGGGAAATATCAGTTTAGTTATATAGACTACGTCTAGGTTACAGATGCAACTGGGAGATTGGTGAACCCCGACAGAGAGAATGCATCTTCTGCCAAACAATCACAGAAAAACCACTACTTCACTATCTCCTGGAATGTGAAGCAACCAACGAGCTTAGAAGAGCTTTAAGAGTCCCTGAATCTTGCAGTGGCCACCCTGAAGCCATCAACATTACCATTCTTCTGGTCAAAAATGGTGTCCAGCAGCTGGACACCCTCATAAAGACTGTCAAGCAGTATCGTTCCCTGCGATAGCAGCCTGACGATTAAATGCGACCTCAGCACAATGTATTGATTTACTGAACAAAACTTTTACCACTTACGGGCTATTCATGCCCGTGCCACGTCTTGGGTGGATTAATCTTCATCAATCAATCTGTCAGACAAGCACTTACCAAATCCACGCCTCTCAGTGTTTATGACTCCATAAGCTTCCCATAAACAAGCAGCCTAGTTTAGATCTAATGGTCTGTTGTACCTGGATGAGGTTCAGGGAGTTCTTCTACACCCCAAAAGGCCAGGCTTGACAACAGGTGTGTGTTGCCGAAACAAATAACCCAACCCACACACATGAAAGTGACGATATTTCGGTCCGTCCTAGACGTGATAATGACCGAAACATCATCACTTTTTCCACGTGTGAATAGTAAAAATTAATAATAATAATAATAAAGAGGAATATGTAGTAATAACGCCAGCACATATTGGACAGACTTGCATATTTACCTTATGTCGAAGGATGTTATCGAGTACCCGGGTTGAGCTGTGCCAGGAGGAGTAGGTGTCCAGAGGGTGCTGGAGGTGGTAGGGCCCCATGGCTGGCGGCCGGAGCTTGGAGCGCCTGATGTAGTCGACCAGGGCTGGGTCGTCCCTCCCCGCCCCCTCCAAGCTCTGCCTCCCGACACCTGCGGCACCAATACCTCCCCTCATTCCCATTCCACATGTGTATAGATTTTATCAAATTGCGTCTTCATAATATATTGTAGTTTATTTATATGTCATTAATTGGCTGCGTGTGTAGTACAGTGCATAAGGACATGAGTCTACGAGAAACGCAGTACGCACGGAAGGCAGGCGGCGGAGGCGGGGTCTTCAGGTCTGTCCCTGCTCTCGGTATCACTTTCCCAAACACCTTTATTGGGAAGGTTCTGTGGAGCTGGTTCCCCAGGGTGTTCCCCCGAGGTGTGGCGCGGAGGGACACGTCCCCGGCATCAGCGACGGGCCTTTGTTCTGAGTCATAGGAATAGGCTGCTAACTCAGGCTGTCTTTAACTAATGTAATCGAGCTCCCTACCTCAGGCTCCTGTAATATGTATTCAAGATCCCTGCTACAGGCTGCTGTAATTAATGTACTTAAGCTAATTAATTAAAGACGTTGCTTAGGCATTTGCTACATGCAAATGTAGTTTAGGAGTAGCTAAAAAGAAGCAAGCTGTAATGCAGATTGACGAGTTTAATATTATTGATTTTGCATGTAAAAGGTAGCTAACTTGAAGGTTAATTTACATTCTTGCTTCCTTGAATTCAGCAGTTAAATTCTAAAATAGCATGCAAATCACTGTTGTAGGCCTATGTGAATTGATCTAGAGAAAATATTAATATACAGAGGATGAACTACAATCTATATCTAATGAGGACAAGGAGCTTGGTTATGAAGAGGCAAAGAATGGTGTTCAACCACTTCGACTACGGGGGATCGAATGCCGACCGGCAAGGTCAATATATATATATATATATATATATATATATATATATATATATATATATATATATATATATATATATATATATATATATATATATATATATATATATATATATATATATATATATATATATATATATATATATATATATATATATATATGTCGTATAGTAGCCAGAACTCACTTCTCAGCCTACTATATAATAAGCCAAGTTTTCCTGAATAATATATTACTATAATTTTTTTCTTATGAAATAAAGCATATAGGTCAATTTTTTTTTATTGGAGTTAAATTAACGTAGATATATGACCGAACCTAACCAACCCTACCTAACCTAACCTAACTATATTTATAGGTAAGGTTAGGTTAGGTAGCCAAAAAAAGCTAGGTTAGGTTAGGTTAGGTAGGTTAGGTAGACGAAAAAACTTTAATTCATGAAAACTTGGCTTATCGGGCCTTGATAGTAGGCTGAGAAGTGCGTTCTGGCTATTAGACGACATATATATATATATATATATATATATATACTTAGTACAGTAATAATTGATATTTACTTAGTGCTGTTGGTAGGCGTACCTTTGATAAAGAGGAGGAGGATGCAGAGGACTGAGAGAGAGAGGGTGAAGAAGGAGAGGGGACGCCTGTTGATCCATCTCTTCACCCGGAGGATCCACTCCATGGTCGCCCTCTTCAGGAAGACATACAGTCAAGACAGGTCAGCGCCACGACTGTCTGGTAATGGCTCACAACACCTGTGACGTAACTGGCTGGTAATGCCCTCATCAAAATCATCCTCATTATCACTGCCATTATCATAGTATTATCAGACTGACATCACTATCGTACCGGGATGACAGAAATATCGTACTAGAATGAAAGAACTCATAAGAACATAGGAACAAAGGTAACTGCAGAAGGCCTATTGGCCCATACGAGGCAGCTCCTATTTATAACCATCCAATCCTACTTATATACATGTCCAACCCACGCTTGAAACAATCGAAGGACCCCACCTCCACCACGTTACGCGGTAATTGGTTCCACAAATCAACAACCCTGTTACCGAACCAGTATTTACCCAAGTCTTTCCTAAATCTAAACTTATCCAATTTATACCCATTGTGTCTTACCACACCAGGATGAACAAACTATAGTACCAAGATGATAGAAGTCTGCCAAGCACCGGAAAACTAACATGCTTTAAGAGTAGAGTAACAGAAAGCTATCCTCATGACGATGAATTACTTAAATGCGTTGCGACAAATTAAGTCTATTTATAAGAAAAAATGTTTGTCTGTGCGAGGATGGAGGAAAGACGCTTGGGGCAAGTCCCATTAAACCTTCACGGAAATAATAAATTTATAAGAAGTGACATTCGGATTAGCAGTCGGCCCATCAGTCTGTAGATGCGAAACACTCAGTGCCGAGTCCATAGACTTCAGCAGTAGTTTAAACGTGCCTCTCTGAGGGGGCCAGGTTCTGGCTCGTGGTCCCCGGTAGGCAAGAAGAGCGTGTGTGGGCAGAGAGGGACGAAGTGGAGAGTGTGTGTGGGCAGGGAGGCAGAAGACGGAAGGGTGTGTGTGGGCAGGGAGGGAGGAGATGGATAAGGAGTGTGTGCGCGCTGGGAGAAGTTGGGGAAGGTGTATAGAAGACCTGGGCACTACTGGGTACCCATCTAGTATTGATAATACTAAACAACTTCAGAAATAAACCTGGACTCTCCTAATAAACCTGGACTCTCCTAATAAACCTGGACGCTCCTAATAAACCTGGACTCTCCTAATAAACCTGGACGCTCCTAATAAACCTGGACTCTCCTAATAAATCTGGACGCTCCTAATAAACCTGGACTCTCCTAATAAACCTGGACCCTCCTAATAAACCTGGACCCTCCTGATAATCCTGGACACTCCTACTGTGGACTGTGTCGGTCACAGTAGTGATTTGCTGTGTAGGTCACTGTAATGATCTAGTAAATCAGTGTAGTGACCTACAGTGGTCTGACGGTCACTGCAGTTATCTACTTTAGACTGTGCCAGTCACTGTAGTGATCCACTATGGACTGTGCCAGTCACTGTAGTAATCCACTATGGACTGTGCCAGTCACTGTAGTAATCCACTATGGACTGTGCCAGTCACTGTAGTGATCCACTATGGACTGTGCCAGTCACTGTAGTGATCCACTATGGACTGTGCCAGTCACTGTAGTGATCCACTATGGACTGTGCCAGTCACTGTAGTGATCCACTATGGACTGTACGCACTGCCAGTCACTGCAGTAGTCTCGCCAGACACGGAAAAGAACACATGTTCACGAGAAATCAATAAGATGGTGAACACCAATTCTCTCCTAGTGGTTAATACACACTTATAGTATTTTGCAACACTAACTATAAACATACTTTATAATACACAATGTATAACGCATATACATACAATAAACATGTATAATACACACACTAGTTAATATATGTAATGTATAATACACATTGTATATTGTAAAACACATGCAGTACAAAAACTGTATAACATATTGAAAAATAAAAATACTGAAAAGTTAAAAACAAAATTTCACACAAAAAGAAAAGATTCGCTAAGAACATTGTGACAATGTTCAGAAATTAACGCCAATTAATCAAACAGAAGCCTAGCATATCATCACCTGCAGGACAATATTATTCTCTTCATCTGACGGTAACCTCACATCACCAATTACTTCCTAAAGGTGAAATTATTTCAAATACAGCTGTCACATCTATTTGTATACAGTACTATATTGAAAGCTGTATCCTGCGAGGGCTTCCTGTACCGTGTACTTTACGCACTGTACTAGGTAAATCGTGTAACCTCTTGTTGTTATTGTTTCAGATTTAGCTACTCAGAACGAGGTGTCCATGTAGCACGGGCTATGGTGAGCCCGTAAACCGTGTAACTATAGTGCTTCCAATATACGTAAGACAGCTATGGTGAGATGTAGTGGCGAGGTGATAGAGAGGAGTGAGAGCAGGACGGTGTGTACTGACGGTAGGGCGCGCTGGGTGCTGGTGGTGGTGTTGTGTATACAGGTCAATGGTCACCCGGGAGACCCCAACACCAGACACGCCCACAACTTGTATTTCTTAGGCAACACATAACTTTCTGTTGTAAACATTGCGAGTTACATTTACTGACACAAACGTGCGCGCGCGCTTGCGTGTCAGATACCTGCTTAATGGGGTTCTGGGGGGTTCTACTCCCTAAGTCCGGCCCGAGGCCAGGCTTGACTTGTGAGAGCTTGGTCCACCAGCCTGTTGCTTGCAGCGGCCCGCATATCCACCACAGCCCGGTTGGTCCGAATTCGCGTATTTGCTCCTATTGTGGAAAATTCCACTTACCATATGTATATTTTACTTCAGAATCATAAATGCTGATTATTAAAGGATCATCAGTATTTACATTAGCAGCCTAAATGACCATTTGGTCAAGTACACTATTGAGCACAATGCCTCTAACATTGTACATGTGATCACAAGAATCTAGAAGCTTCCTGATAATAAAAAAAATAGTTGGAACCAAAATAATAAGTTTCCAGAGACGTATTTTCAACATCCATAATAAAGAACAAACTGTACCATCAAATATTCAATACTCTTTAAATCCACTAGGTGTTTACCTTGTGATATAACTACAACAATAATCAGTCTACATAACGAAAATAAGATCTGGAGACACTTTTTCAACAAGGCATTTACACAAAATAATTATAATCTTCACTGATAGCTCCCTATATACCGAGTTTCTGAACTGTATATAGGGAGGAATTCCTGGTACATTTACCCAAAATAAGAGTGTGGAGGTCCACCGGCTAGTGAGGCCCCACCACCACCACCTCATCTACCTAATGAGACGCAACAAAGTGCACTCCATATCTGAGCAAGCAACTAGAATCCTTTACAGCAACGCTTTGACATAAACATCAAGCTGCCATTTCATCAATAACATAGTCTGGTGTCAGCTAGAGACATCACCTGGCTACTGTCAGATAGGCTCCGGTTCTCAATTCAGGGAGAGTTATTGTTTTAGAGCGTAGATTGGCCAGTAAGTATGCTTTATAACATTAACACATCCATATATAAATTGAGTCGTTAGGCAGCGAGGCAACGCCTCATCATCAGTAAATTCTGACTTTACTCATGCAGTAACTGAACTTTTTATTACTGAATCCATCATACAAATTTATATATATTATATGGGTTTGGGGTTTCCTACCACTCACAGGATGGGTATGGGGGTTTCCGTGTATATAATTTTTATGCAAATTTACATACACCTTATCCATGTGCAATTGTACCTTTTAGTGTGCAACAGCAGATATTCCTAGGACTAGATTAAGTGTATACATTGTTCAGATCCTAGATCATGAACCTTACCAATGTTTGCAGTCATAGAACGGTTAAGGTCCAAGTTCCGAACTCATAGAACTAAAACATAATATCAGTGTATAAAATATACAAGCTAAATGTGTTAGAATGCCCGCAGGTGTATTGTGGTCATGCAATCAATGAGCCAACTCGGCCTTGAGGACCCTACCTGCTACAGCCCATTTCCAGGATCAAGACAGATCTTTGACTTACAACCCAAGCATAGGACCGTTGTCCTTAGATAAGAATTTGCACGGTCTTATTTTAGCATTTTAATGAATTATTCGGTATTTAATTTACAGGTCCCTTGTCATTCTCTTCATCCATATAATCTCGGTATTTCCCCCACCTATACGATCGAACTTGTAGTCCTCGTGGCGCAGTGGTAAAGCACTCTCCGGCACTTTGGATCGTATCCTAGCCAGAGATTTACTGGGTGCCAATTCTTAAATGTTCACCCAGCAGTTAACGGGGATCTTCTTGAGAGTCCTATTCCGCGGAAAATATTGGACTTAAGGAACTGTTCGAAATGCTATGCGTGCTAGTAGCTTTACAAGTAATAACTTATTATTGTATGTTTATATGTATACATGTATATATAATAGCAAATGACGCTCAAATATATATATGCGCCCAAATAGCATCTTTCTTTTAGATCTTTAGTTGAAAACGACAAAGTTTTAGACTTGATTTTTTAACAAGTTCAGGTATACACAGCAATGTGCTGCTACCCTATTCTATATGAAAGATTGGTGTATAAGCTAGCTATACGTTTATCTAATATTCACATCTCACAGGATGGTTAGTCATACATGGAATCAGGAGAAAATACCAGCCTAGATACAAAAACAAAAATCGACTAAAAAATCAAAGAAATGTAAAGCAGATCTACTAGCCTCCACTGGCAAAATCTGGGTAGAGCACAAAAATTTTTAATATTCCTAAGAGGGTATGAAGTAATTACAGAGCTCAAAGTACCTCATACCATTAGGTATAAAGTCGGTTATAACAGGGCAATCACAGTGTTGGAGATTATGTCCCAGCTCTTGTTCACAGTTTACAATTGGAATGTTCACCATTGGGAGATTTATTACCTGCAGCCACCTGCCATATAGTCAGTATACACGTAGCCCGGATTCTGGCACGAATCTTTTACATAAGATTCCTTATGATGATCTTCACTGAAGAAGGAAGTTGAAAAAATAACTCCAAATTTATTTACTTTTTATTGGATCTGACGCCTAGTGATGCACTCCACAAGGTCACTCCTCACATTCTCAGAAATTCTACAGTGCACCGGGTTATATCCTCTTATGGCGAGGTGGTTTAATGCCATTACATAGCGAATATTGATAAGGTATTAAATGCATCAAGAGTGTGACATGCTGGCAGCTTATGTTCTGGTTGCTTCCCTTCCTGTGGCAAGGTCATTCGGTCCTGCTTCTGAGTTGGCTCGAGGTCTTTAAAGTGGGTAGTGGAATTGTGTACTCGCTGGTTGTTGATTGCTGGTCTAGATTTCTTGATATGCAGTGCCTCACTGATATTTAATTTTTTAATGTCTTTGTATCTATCAATTATTTCTGTGTTGCTTGTCAAAATAACCCTGGTGATCGTCTCGTTGTGTGTGGTGATTATATGATCCTTGATGGAGCCTTGTTTGTGCACTGTTAGTTGCCTAGAGAGGGATATTGTCTTCCATATATACCGAGACACCAAGCAAAACACATTGAAAGAGACCAACATTGTCTATGCCTTCACATGCCCATTTGGGGATTGTCGGCCCCAACGATCTCTGTATCTAGGCAAGACAACAATGTCCCTCTCTAGGCAATTAATGCACAAACAGGGCTCCATCAAGGAACATATAATCACCACACACAACGGTTATCACCAGGGTTATTTTGACAAGCTTCCTATTCCAAGGATCTTGTAAACAAACCATGACAGTTCAAACATGTTGGCACACCTGCATAATCTAGTTCTAATGCAAAGTTCATCCCGTGTCAAGGGGGTATCCACTTATTTTCCTGAAAAGAAATATCGAGTATTAACTTTTAAATCAAGTAATTCACATTTACTATTCACATTTACTCAAATCAGTATTATTTGTCCACATTTCAATTCAGGTGACGAAAAATTGTCATGACAACAACCAGTACAAACCCACAAACCAAAGAAATAACACAATGGCTTCACCTGCTGCTGAAAAAAGTTAAGCCTCAATTTTCACTTCCGATCCAAAGCCTGAAGTTCAGTTAAAGAACTGCCCATAAGCCAAACTAAAATGCTATTTGGGCATTTAACTTTATATTTACATTTAGCCTTCAAGCATTTTTAAAATCTTTATAAATCCTTCAATATATGCTAGTTTAATTCAACATACAGTTTACTACACAAACTTGCCATTCACATATCAAACATTTTTGCAAATTCTCTTCATATTAATCATTTATTCTCCCAGGAGTAACCCAACCTCGTACATCTACTTAAAAAAATGTGAACCATTAATTTGAGACCTGGATGAATGTTTTTATATTTTTCTCAGCCTGAACCTTCAATGGACTTTATACCCAGATTGCAAAATATATAGCTAACATTTACAGAAAACCCTTCACTAAATAAAATTTTTATAAAACATTATGCCAATTCATTTCTATACATTCACGTACACTGTTACTCCTTTTAACAAACATGCCAACCAAAATGCAGGTACGGTACCTTGCTGCTCACAGCCCTGCTGGATTGCTATTACAAAAACTCATTTTTACAACCACTCATGGCTAAATTTACTTTTAAAAAGGCAAATTGTGTGCATCCAGTAACACGTGGCAACAGTCATGCGAAAAGTAAGGTAATGAAAACAAATTATGTTAGGACATTCAAAGAACTAAACCTGCATCACTGAAGGGCTAGTGTAGACAAGATGAACAAGACAAAGGCCTAGAAGGTGCATTCAATCCCCAATGTTCACAACAGACGAGGCCAATTCAATCCACAACATTACCAGATGGACCAGCAGGTGAATTCTCTCAACCCAAAGCATTTTGGGTATATACATCATTACCCTATTTCCTTAGTGGGGAGTGAATTAAAATCAGCCCCGACCACCCAAAAATAGTTAGATAATAAAATTGTATTATAATTGTATAACAAAGTGGTAATGTTATAGCTAAATCTACACTACCACTCATAGTTGTGAACTGTCAATAATTACAAGACATTCAAATGCTACTACTTACTACAAATAATTTTGCTCAAATCATAAGTTTTTCTTGCACTACACTAAAAAAAATGTGTGAACCATTTATGGTTCCCAGTGAAAGAACACCCACATAAAGACTTATGAATGGATTAAACCAATTAAAACCAACTTTACTGTATAAATAAAAACAATCTAAACATACGATTAGAGCAGCAAAGTCCCATTCTAAAATAACTGAACTAAAATCACTCTTACCATTAATGACTGGAGTATCTTGTTACCATGCAGGAAGAGCCACGTATCTAAGGGTTATCCAGTCACCACTTCTACACTCATCAACCCTACTGGGCAACAAACCAGTAATGATCTCCTATAGGTTTCCCCCAACTTCCATTCTACCTGAGGAAGGCATTGTGTTTACAATATGGTTCAGGTTGTCCCATTTATGCAAATCAATGATATATGATCAGGAATAAATGTCTGCATGATTTTTCAGGCTTCAAGTGTTAAGCATCATATCAAAACCTTTGTACTAGATTTCTTACAACTAAACAACTTTATTTTCTGGCTTTAAAACCATGATTCTCTTACTCGTGAGAAAATTTGTTGGGGGGGGGGGGGGGGGGGGTTATCACTGGAATCAGTTTTGCCACTAATAAACAAAAATCCACATCTGATCAAGCGAATGATTAGAGGCCTTGGGAACACTACCACATATAATGAGCCATTTCCTTCACCATGAACAGCTGGGCATGAACCTGTGCTTAAAGTACTTGACAACCC